GGTACTTGGAAGGTTGAGGCGGAAGGATCGCCGGAGCCCAGCAGGTCAAGGCTGCGGTGGCTGGGAGTGTGCCACTGCACTCCAGTCTGGGCGACAGAGTGAGATTCCAACTCAAAAAAAAACCAAAACACACCTTTCTGTCTGCACAGAAAGTCTACAAGATGTCACAGGAGGCAAAACAGCCTATTTTAGTTCTCTTCAACCCAAACATGTTGCTATTGCTAAGTATTTTATACAGTCAGCACTGAAAACAATTTCTCTCTTGACCAGCACATTCTGTAAAGAAACAGGCCTACTGTACTGTTTGAATGCTGAAAAGTGCTGAAATAAAAGGCATTAAGATTGAAAGTGTCTTTAATTACAGTTACGTTTGTCGACTGAACAAATCCCAGAGAATCTACTAAAAATAGACTGAATACACTTAAAACAAAGATGTTCTTCTTAAAAGTAACTAGCTGCATCTCCTTGTCTTCACAAACTCCACATGGCTGGAGCTGTGCACTTTCCTGGCGCTCTGCAGGAAAGTGCACTTTATTAAGTAAAGCACGTCAACTTCTTCATCAACTGATTCTGATTTTTACCTAAGATCAACCTACATGACTTTGAACTTTCTCAAGTTCAGAGCTATTTTTTTTTTTTTTTTAATTTGGAGTCTCACTCTGTCACCCAGGCTGGAGTGCAGTGGCACTTTCACAGCAACCTCAGCCTCGACCTGCTAGACTAAGGCAATCCTTCTGCCTCAGCCTTCCAAGTAGCTGGAACTATAGGTGCACGCCACCATACCCGGCTAATTTTTTGATTTACTGTAGAGACAAGGTCTCACCAAGTTGCCCAGGCAATCTCAAACCCCTGGACTTAGGCAATCCTCTTGCCTCAGCCTCCAAAAGTGCAGTGGCTGTGAGTGTGCCACTGCATACCAGCTTGGGTGAGAGTGAGACTCCAACTCAAAATAAATTAAATAAATAAATAAATAAATAAATAAATAAATAAAATACCGGGCGTGGTGGCTCAGCTTGTAATCCCAGAACTTTGGAAGGCTGAGGTGAGAGGATGGCCTGAGCCCATGGGTTCGAGAACAGCCTGGGCAACTTGGCCAGACCTCATCTCTATAAGAAATCAAAAAATTAGCCAGGTGTGGTAGCATGCACCTGTAGTTCTGGCTACTTAGAAGGCTGAGGGGAAAGGATCACCTGAGCCCAACAGGTCAACACTGGGGTGGCAGTGAGCGTGCCACTGCACTCTATCCTGAGCGACAGAGACTCCAACAATCAATCAATCAATCCTCTCAGACTGTCTCTGCCTATAAAGCTAACACTGGACCCATGAAAATCATCCCCAGATAGAATGTACACTTACCAAATGTGCCAGGCACTTCACAATCACTCTAAGAGATAGCAAACTCATCATACCCCTGCAGGTAGAAGTCATTCACATCTGATTTACAGAGGAGACAGAGGCCAGGAAGGTATCTTACCAAAGTTACTACACAGCATACATGTGGAGCTGGCATCATAAGGAAAACTACTGAGCTAGAGTCCTTCACCCTAGGTGAATCCCAGCTCTTTGAGATCGTACACTCATCTGCAAAACAGGGGTAATATAAACACCAAGCCCAAAGAGTTATTCTGAAAATGTTTATGATCATTTAAGAAAGAGGCTTATGATGGTGTCTGGCACACTGCAAGGGCTCAGTAAATGTTTTTTCTTTTTTTTTTTGAGACAGAGTCTCACTTTGAGGCCCAGGCTGGAGTGCAGTGGCACACTTCTGGTCACCACAGCAGCCTCGGCCTGGTGGACTCAGGTGATCCTTCCACCTCACCTTTCCAAGTAGCTGGAACTACAGGTGTACGCCACCACACTAGGCTAATTTTTTTGATTTATTGTAGAGACAAGGTCTAGCCTCTCGCCATGTTGAACCCCTGGGCTCAGGCAATCCTCTCATCTCTGCTTCTCAAAGTGCTGGGATTACAGGCGTGAGCCACTGCACCTGGCCTTCAGCAAATATTTTCTGTCATTCTCATCAGATTTAAGTGCTTGTGACGCTTAAATGAGAGCTGCAAGTTAAACAGTTCAGCTACTTGGAAGGCTGAGGCAGAAGGATTGCTGGCGCTCAGTAGGTAGAGGCTATGGTGGCCGTGATTGTGCCACTGCACTCCCGCCTGGGTGACAGAGACTCCCACTCAAAAAGCAATAATAATAATAATAATGAAAAGCCTCCTGAATTTATCAGACCTGCCTGGAGATGCCTGATGCCATCAAAAGTAGGAAAACTCCAGAATATACCAGAAACCAGAAACTCTGATGCTTAATTAAAATGCAGATGCAGGTCAGTCGAAATTTGGCATTCCTCTCCAGAGCCCCAGAAGGGAAAACAGCCTTGTGTCATCTTCTCAAGATTGTAGGCTTCTGGACCTGCTCCACATCCCTGGGGCCATCTCCTACCGATCTGGCATCTGTTCTGGAAACAGGCCTGGTACGCAGGGTGTTCCTCTGACTCACTCCACTCTTCTTCCCATGAGGCAACCCCCGTAGGCTGGGCTCCGAGTAGAGTTGCCACCAAGGGGAGCTTCCCTGGACGCGAAGGCGGCCTCACCACCCCTGCTCGGCCCGGATTCGAGCCTAGATAGGGTCCCCGAGGGAACTTCGCAAGGACCAAAGGCGCCAGGGCGAGCAGGGCCGGGAGGGGGGTGATCGACACGAATAGACCGGTCTGGGGCGAGGACACCCAAACTCTGGAAACAGGGAAGACGCCAGGGAAACACACCTCGAAAGCCCCAGGGGAGACCAGAGGGCGGTTGGAAAGAGGCCAGGCGGCTGTGTGGCCGAGGCAGAGAACGCACCACGACCACCGCCAGCGCAGCGGTCAGGGGCCTGAGAGCTGAAGGTGCCGAATCGCAAACGCGACCCCGGGTAGGGGCGGGGCGGACTGAGCCCATCCGTGGCGGGGGCGCGGGACGCAGCGGGTACCTTGGCCGGCGGAGTCCATGTTCAGGCGGTGTCCGGGACTCGGCTGCGGTCGCTACGAGAGCCGAGTGGGCAGCACCAGGACCGCTCGCCGCGTACACTCGAGCCAGCGGAACTGCCTCGGCCGCCGCTGTATTACGTAATCAGCGGCGCGACAGCCACTTCCTCTCGGGTGCGTGCTCCGCCTTTGTCCCGTCCCCCCCCGAGCGATGTCCAATGAGAGCGTCATTTGGCCCAGTCCCGGTATATCAGACTCAACCTGATAGGCCGAAGCTACGGGCGCGGCAGGAAAGGGAGGCCGGGTTCTGAGGGGCTCCTTCCCAGGTTGGCTCCGCTAGCGAGACGCGCAGGTAGAAAGGTCCGAATGGTAGGAGCGCGGGGAGGTGGGAAGTGGGAGGACCGTCCAACATGGCTCCGTGGAAAGCCCAGGCTAGGTCCCAGGGGACCTTCGGGGGCGCGTGCTGCAACCTCGAACGACAGAGGTTGCTCACCTCAGCGGGTCGAATTCACACCCCATAAGATGCCCTCAAGGCCAGACCCCCAAACTTTGGGGATCAGCCTCCTCCAGTAAGTCCTTTTTATTTGTATGGGGTTTCTCAAAAAGGCGAGACCGCGATTCGTTCTCTTGCCCTGCGGGCGCCGCTGCACTTGGGGCTGTCTGGATCTGGCTGGAGACGTCTGGGTCCCTGAAGTCCTCCAGTCCCTCGTGTCTCCAGTCGCCACGTGCGCGCATGGTCGCCTGCCTCGTGCACGCGGAGCCTCCGGGCGTGTACATGCGGGGAGCCATAGCCAGTGCTAGGCCTCCTGCAGGTGGAGGCCTTCGTGTGCCCTGCACTCGGCCCTGTGGGCGTGCACCCCAGTGTTGTCTCGCTTCCTTTTCACAGCGACCGCTATGCCAGTACTGGTGCTCTCCCCAATTCACAGATGAGAAAACTGAGATTAAAGTAACTTTGCCCAAGGTCACTCATTACCAGCAGACTCTGGACAAGAGTCAGCCTGACTTCAAAGCAGAGACGTGTAACCACCAGGCAACTAGCCTACAAAAACAAGCCCCACAACTTCCCTTCTTTGGTTCTTACTTGCCCCTGGAAAAAAATCCTTAAACGGTATTCAAGCCCTTTTGGATCTGATCCCCCTGGACTGATCCCCCTTCCAGCCAGGCCTCCAACCAGGCCACTCTGCAAGTATGGTCCTTAGGCATGGAAGCCCCTCCCACTGCCCCTTCCTTCCCTGGCCCAGCTTCTCCCACAGGTATCTTCCTGGTACAGGCCCAAGTCCTTCACCACCATGGCCTTATCCTGCCCTGGTGCTCACAGTAATAGGTCTTCCCCATTTGCCACCTTTCCTTCCAGATGTTTTTTGTTGTTGTTGTTTTTGTCTTTTGTTTTGAGTTGGAGTCTCACTCTATCACCCACACTGGAGTGCAGTGGCATGCTTCCAGCCACTGCAGCCTTGACCTGCTGGGCTGCAGTGATCCTTCCACCTCAGTCTTCCAAGTAGCTGGAACTACAGGCGTGTGCTACCACGCCTGGCTAATTTTTTGATTTATTGTAGAGATGAGGTCTTGCCAAGTTGCCCAGGCGGGTCGCAAACCTGTGGGCTCAGGCAATCCACTCACCTCGGCCTCCCAAAGCGCGGGATTACAGGCTGAGCCACCGAGCTCAGCCTCAGAGGTTCTTGCTCAACCCAATCTGGCAAGCTCAGGGTGTAGGGACAGCACACAGTCCCTGCTTTATGCAATTCAGGGCAGACCATAAAGAAGTGACATAACAGATGATGGTGAGCAGAGGTCTTGTCCCTCATTCTGTGTTGCACCCCTAAGTCAAGAACAAAGCTCAGGCCTGACCCCAGGTAACACCCAGTGATGTCTCCTGGTCAGTGCCAGTGTGTCTGCTGTAGCCTCACATGCTGCCATGTGTACCTGTACCTGTCACTGAATCTGCAGTCCCTCTGTGGATCCCCTCCTGGGAATGTCCAGCTGTGAAGACCCGCCTCATAACCCTACAGTGCCAATGTTCTCCCTTCACAGCTCAGGGCAACTCACACAGACCCTTCAACACTGAGCTGATATCAGCTTCCAGGAGCCATACTATAACCCTGGCCAGGAGAAGGGTTCCTCTCTGTGGTCCCAAAGCCCCTGTTCCCATCCTCTTGTGACTGAGGCACCCATCGTACAGCACTGCCACAAACTGGATCACTTTAATCTTTGCATTCCCTTTAGGAGCTATGCGCCTGTGTTCAAGTGTTCCTGGGAGAAAGAGAAGGAAGGAGGGAGAGAGCAGGGAACAACAGAGGGAAGGTCAGGATGCCTGGTGAAAGAGAGCACCAGGTTTCCTGGTGCTGCCCACCCTGCACCAGAATCCAGGTCAGGATCCTGGACAGCTTTACTGGTTGCTGGTGTGGGGAGGTGAACCACTGGGGCTGGAAGGTGTGCAGTTCGGGAGCCCTCCTGGGGCAACGGACTACAGCTTCCAGGGCAACTGGAAGTCCTCAGGGTCCAGTGGGCTGCAGTGAGTCGCCTCCACGTTCTTGAGATGCCTTCGTGCCAGGAACAGCGCCAGCTGCCGGCGCCGCCGTGGGCTCAGGCCCTGGCCCACAAGCCAGGGGAAGGCGGGCCCGTGTGGATCGCAGGCCTCCGGGTCCTCCAGCTGCTTTTCGCGTTGCGAGCGGTAGGAGCGCAGCAGCATCAGGCATTGCTCGTCGTCCACGCGGTAGCGAGCGTAGACGGCAGCCTCCTGCTCTGGGCTGCCTGTGCGGCGCAGCCATCGCTTCACCGTGGCGTGGCCCTCGCGCCCCATCACGGCCGGGTAGCGGTGCTGCAGCAGGCGCAGGAGCAGCTCGTTGCCGCGGTTGCCCTCCACGTCGCTGGGCGGCAGCGGGGGTAGGTGGCCTGAGGTGTTGACCACGTGATCCTGCGTGCGCCGCAGCAGCAGCACCGGCCCAGAATAGCGGCACAGTTGCTCGGCCACGTTGAGGTTGAAGTGCTCGCGCACGGTGCGCACCACCATCCCCTTCCAGCTGTGGGGCATAACCTTCAGCGCCAGCGGCACGAGGTCGTCGAAGCTGGCATCGAGTATCAGCGCCCCCAGTGCAGGGTAGGTCATGGTGGCCCAGGTAGCCGTGAAGCCTCCGATTGACCAGCCGTAGATCACCACGTGCGCGGGCGGGAAGCGCAGGCGATGCAGCGCGTACTTGACCACCACGTCCATGGCGTTGGCATCGTGCTGGGGGAACGGCGCGCCGGTGCTTCCTCCAAAGCCTGGGTGGTTCCAGCCCAGCACCGAGTAGCCGGCCTCAAGCGGCGCAGCCAGACAGCCCATCTCGTAGAAGCCGGCATTGCCTTCGCAGCAGATGACGAGGTGCAGTCCGCGGCCATGGCTGCCCGGGTGCTGGCGGCGGTCCATGAACATGGTGTCGATCTCATTGCCGTCACAAGCTACCAACTTGGCGCGTCGGCCGTGGTAACGCACCACGAGGCGCTCCTGGCCCTGCTGCAGCAGCGGCAGCAGCGCGCGCGTCATCAGGAATATGGAACCGGGGTACACCAGCCAGCGGCCTAGCGAGTGCGCCAGTGCGTAGCTGGCGAGCTGGCTGGGGAGCTCGCGGATCTGCTGCAGGAGGCACAGCGCTTGGCTGCGCGCCCTGCGCGGCGCCCGCCCCCGCGCGTCCCCGCCCAGCGCCGTGTCGCGCAGCAGCCACACGCCCGCTGCGGCGGCAGCGCAAGTCAGCGCTCGGTGCCCGCTGCCCCCGCCGGCCGCAAGTGAGTCGTCCCAGCGGAAGTCCACGGGCCAGCTGCGAAAGTTGTAGGCGTAGTTGGCGGTCAGGTAGATCTTGAACACGTGCACCAGCGCCTTCATGAAGCAGATGACACACATGGGGACGGAGGCCACGGCCGCCCTGTGGGCCCCTGATGCGCTGTCCCACCAGTCCCGCGCAGGGCTGCCGTGGGCATGCCTGCTCTGGGCTAGGCCTTGGTGTCCTTTGTGACCCGGCCTTCCAGGCCTAGGGGAGGCCGCCTTTGTGAGTCACTGTTGCTGGGGGAAGAGGTGACACCAGGGTAGATAACCCACAAAAGGCTCCCGGGTGGGGTCCTCAGGTTCTGCCGTGCTTCCTTGCCAGCCTGAGGACCCTGTGTGGCCACATCTTCAAGCTGTTCCCATCTCCCTCTTCTGTAAATTGAAGATGGACAACCAGACAGGCCCCAAACAGCAGCTTGACCTCTTAGGGTGTAGCAGGGCCTCGCTTGGGGGTAAGTGGCCTCCCACAGCCCTGCACAGGCTTGCTGTGGGCACCACCCCTTTAGGGTCCAGGGATTTGAACATCTCTCCTCAAGGGCCAGATCTCAACCTGGGTGGCCACTGGATCAAGGAGGCAGTGTCTGCGCCTGGCCTGCTGGCCCTTCCCCTCCACACCTTCCTTCTCAGGAAAGGCTAGAATCGTCCTTCGTTTCTGGATCCTCTTCTCAGGCTGCCAGCAGCGGCCATGACCTTCTCCAGGTGGGTTCTGCCTGACTGGTTCCTCTTTTCAGCCCTGGCTGAGCTCCCCCCAGCCACCCCACAAGCTGTACCTTCCTCTTTTCTGAAGGGCTCTGGTGGGTTCCCTTTTTTCTTCTGCCCTGGAGAAGGCCAGCCTACCTAAGGGGAAGGGGGCTGGGTTAGGGCCACCAGGGGGAGCCCCAAGGAATGGCAGGGCTCAGGTAACTTAACCAGACCTGAACAAAAATGCTAAAACCGGGGAATTCAGCAAACACAGCCAGATTCTCTGAGCCCAAGAGGCAGTCCTGTGAACAGATACCAGCCTTCTGGGAAGGGGGAGTTTTAGGCCACGGCAACTCCTGTTCTCTGTCTGGGTTAGGGGCACTGGCCTAAAACAGCCCCCTCCCTAGCTTTGGGAGTCAGATGAGGGCCAGGGCACAAAAAGGCAGGACTTACAGAGTGCCTGGGGGCATTGACCAGCACCCCCATCTGGGCTTCCGGATAAAATACAGAATACCCAGTTCAATTTGCATTCCAGATAAACTGGGAAACACTTTTTGAGTCTAACTATGTTCTAAATACTGTTTGGGACATACTTACATTTAAAAATTGTTTATGTGAAATTCACTTTTAATTGGTGTCTTGTTTTTTAGGTTTGTTATTGTTTTACTAACTGTGGCAGTCTTAACCCCAACACACATCCCCTTCTATCTGAGATCCAGTTCTCCTGTTTGTTCAGCTTTCATCCCAGATGGACTGCTCTGCTTATCGGTCAGGTCCTAGGGACCTAGAGAGTGTCAGGGTTCTCTGGCACACCTGGTCAAGGGTCCCCACTCTCCTGTCCACTGCATCTCTCCACTGGGTCCTGGGCACCAGCTGAAGCCCTTCCATAGGAGGGAGCCCACAGGGCAGGACCCCTGGGGCCAAGGGATGGGCAGGGCTTCGCCTGGGGATTAGTGGTTCTCATCCTTCTGAAGTGCCCACCCCTAGCTCTGGCGAGGAAGACAGTTGTAGTTGGAAATGGAGATGGAGCCTGGGGGGAGGGTGGGGACATTTATTCTCCCCAGACTCTTTCATGAAAGCAGATGCTACCTCTCATAGGTGGGTGGGAGTGGGGACCCAATGGTTCCAGGCTTTTTGTATGAGACTATAGAAGTGACCCTCAACGACAGAGTGGAGGACCTAACTGGAGGATCCCTGCCTCCCCAGCTCAAGTCCAGGCAGTGGCAGAGAGGGTGACTTCAGGGTTCCCATCTGTGGTTTGGGCCCTGTAGACACAGCAGTCTGGCTGGTGTCCTGGAGGGCTGTCCACATAGTGTGTTGGATGCACTGCATTTTGTTTTGACTCTCAGGAAAGATCCTGCCTGTAGGAGCCTTGTTCTCCTGGGGCAGTCTCCCAGCTCAGTCTGCTCCGAGACTTGTTTGGAAATGGAGGCTTTTCTTCAGCCAGGCCCACCTGCCCTTAATCACACCCCCACCCCCCACACACACAAGAGCAGGAAGCTCTAGAGAGGAGGAGGGGAAGAGCTAGAGACCGGATTCTGAGGAGCAGAGGTCAGCAGGCTGGAGTCACTGGCCCCCAGGGGCTCCCTGCCTTATCCTGTGTCTGGCCTGGCCCCTAACCTCAGCAGCCCATGGGAGCCCGAGTGCCCCAGAACCACCAACTCAGTAGAGACAGGAAAGCATGTGACAGGAAGAGAGCTGTCCCCTCTCCAGAAGAGCCCCCAGACCGGACCAGCTGCAGCAGCAGTGACCTCTCATGCCCCCTTCCCCCATCTGCTCGGGGAAGTGTCCATAGTGAGGCTGGGGGTGGGCCTGTGTCCCTGCTTATTAGTTTGTGCAGCACCCCAGCACTCCAGGCTGACATCTGAGCAGACACCCCACCCCCACAGAGACCAGGCTTGCTAGTCTCTGAGACCTCCACCCCACAGGGCTCCACCTCCCCCACTGGGCCACACTCTCCTGCCCTGGCCAGTTCTGTTAGGCCTCCCTGGAGGCCCTTGATTTATGCTGGAGCCTGCAGAGCCAACCTTGGAGAAGAAAGGAAGGGAGAGAGAGAAAACCAGTCCCAGAGGCTGGAGGGGCAGGAGCCAGGATCAGAGCCCTTGGCAGCGGGCACGAGCCGACCACAGCAGCCCGGACTCAGGGGCAGTGCCCAGGCCTCGGGGAAGCTGAAGCTCCCCCAGTGGGAGGGGAGCTGAGTCTGCACAAACGCCTCTGCTCAGGAAGTGGGGTGCAGGGAAGGTGGGGGTGGCTTGGAGCCCAAGGACAGGAGAGGATGCTTCCTGGCGGATGCTGGGTCAAAAGAAGGGGCGGAAATGGCCAGGACAGCTGCTGAACATCTGGAGTCACAGAGAATTAATTACCCAGTGCCCTCAAGGACAGTGGGCTGTTGGGGGAGCAGCGCTTGCCGGAGCCTTCTCCTTCCCACTCCCTGCAAGGCCTGGGCTGTCTGTGGCTCTCTCCGGCCAGGATGAGGGACACTACTGAGCAACCTCTCTCCAGAGTGCCCCCAACACGTTCATCTCAGAAGCAAAGAAGCCATACAGTGTCCTTTCTGAATACATCTTTAACGGCAAAGACAACCTGTGACCACACAGGCTTTGAGTGATCATGCTGTGTGGCTGTGGAGGGCCAGAGCCCCCATAGGGGCGGGGGACAGATTACAGCCCTTACCCAACACTGCTGCCTCTGGTGCCTCCTGCACTAGCATGTGGCTCCTGCCCCAGACCTGCTCCTCCTCTCCCACGGGGAGGGGCCGGAGTCACACCAGAATCCTGGGCATGGCCCACTCTCCCCCCATCAGGGTAAAGACTGCAGGCTTGTGTGGTGTAGGGCGAATTCTGAATTCCCTGGGGCTCACCACCCCCCTCAGGCCAGGACACACTGTACCACTTCTGCAGACTCCAGGGGGTAGATGGTCTCTGGAACCTGTACACACACTTTGAAGGTCACTGTGTATTTGGAGCCAGTCTCACTCTGGCTTGGAAGACCCTCTGAGCAAAGTCCTTGTCCTTTCTATCATTGCAACATCCAAGTTTTGATATAAGGTAAGTGCTTAGTTGTTATTATTAATCAAAATGTAAAGCTCTCATGGCACCAGTGATGTACTTTTTCCACACCCCCTTCTAGGTGTCCAGTGCAGTGATCCTTTTTCATCTGCCTGCAAACATACCCACACAGAGTCTTACCCAGGTCTTATTTTGTCATTTCCTTTTGCAGACGCGGGTCTTGTGCACAGTTGGTTCTACTGCATGGTTTTCTCCACAGCATACCATGAGCATCTCTGCATGCCCAGTGCTCATGTACTAGTAGCCAGTGTGTCCTGTGCTGGGGGACACGCAGGCTCCAGCCCCTCTCCTCTGCAGATGTGGCTGCAGTGTGAACCCATGTTCAAAGACCCTGAGCTCTAGGTGCTTTTCTTATGTACTAGGTTTGTAAAAGTGCATGGCTCACTCACAGCCCAGGCTTTTCCAAAAGACTGTGTAGCCCGAGTCCTTGGAGGGAGCTCATCTCTGTGACTGCTGCAGCGACACAGGCAGGGCCATGCTTTTGGTGTTTGTCCCTTTGTGCAGTATACTGATTTAGTAAATACCAGCAGGTCCTTGCCACTGACCAGGTTGGCACCAGAAGCCATTCCACCCATCAGGTGATCCGGTCCAGCTTTTTGCACAGGGCCCTCTGGAGACCCCTCACCTGCAGACCCATTGCCAGCTGCTGGTGACCAGACAGAAACTGTGGCCTGGATCTCCACAGTCAGTCCTGGATGTAGGTGGGGAGGGAGAGTAGGCAGGGCAGGGGTGGATGGAAGGATGAGGGTACCTTGGCTCTTGGCCTAAGAGCTAGGTCTGCACTTCCTGAATCCACTGTGTTCCGCCTGGCCAGCCAGGGATATAGAAAACCAGGAGCGTGGTCACACCCCAGACCCAGCCCAGAGAATCCCAGACTTTCCTGATAGAGGTCTCCGGTTGGAAACTCTGACTCCACAAGGAGCGTAAAAGACTCCTGGATAGCACAGGGGTGGCCCCTCTTTCCTGGCTTCTCCAATCCTGCAGGTAGCAGGGCCCTGTATGAAGCGAAGCCCAAGGGTAGCCACATAGCAGCACTTGCAGGGCAGAGGCGACCTGGGTCCTCACCCAATGCTCTCACCCTCCTCCCACCACCCCTGCGACTGGGCTCCTCTCCAGGGGGCTACAGCTTGTGGGGAGGGGGATTTTTGTCCAGTTTGGGACAGTCATCCTGCAGAGTGGGAAAGCAGTGTGGTCGGAGGGCTTCTAGCCAAATGCGGAGCCCAGGCTGGGGCCTCCTTGAGCCTGGAGAGGGGAGGCAGCCAAGGTGCACCCAGATTAGGCTGCGTGGGCCCTAGTCCTGGGTACTGTCATGGGAAGCTGAAAGGACCACCAAGAGGTCTTGTGACCTGTGACT